AGATAGTGTATTATATATTGATACCACACTCTCATGAGTAACTATTAGAAACCAAAGCAAAGCTGGGTTCCCTAGATAGAGTATTATATATTGATACCACACTCTCATGAGTAACATTTTCAAAAAAGTGGGAATATATTGCTGAATCTAAAAGTTTATGTTTATAAACAATATTTCTAAAAGAAGATAAAGAATATGAAAAGAAAGCTAAAAGAAAACCAACAGTTAGTGTATAATTCTGACGCAGAACAATAATCTACTCACTGATGTTCAATTAAACTTCTCCCCCTTTACGTAGAAACACCCCCTTCCCCCACCCCACCAAAAAAATTGACGTTTTGACGTTTTTTTTTATCAATTTATCATGTGAAGAAGTGTATAAACAAATTAACGCATTCTAAATTGCATTTTTCCCCATTATTGTATGATTATTTAAGAATACTGCAGTATTGTTTATGAGGCCCATGCATCAGGGATAATAATACAAAATTACAAAATATAAAAATAAATATGTCATCTTGGCTTCACGGACGCTTCACGCTCTTCTACTTTTTTCTGTTCAAATTGGGGATTTTCAAAAGTCAATATGTCGACGTTTTTTTCAGTAAAAGTTTAGTTTCTTTCAACTGTAAACCATTCCTCGGGTCATGCGAGTATCCCCATAAGATGTCGATTCGACCGGTTCAGCCGTTCTTAAAGATATTAGAATTCCTATAAGACCAATATGTGTGTCAAAAAGATTCATATTTTCATAATTGATTTGTTTTTTACGTGACAAGATAATAATATCCATTCATATATAAACCAGGTTTTTATCGTCAAAATATTTGAAAGAAGTTGGTTGCTTGTACTCTACAATCTACAAAATTACTACAATCAAGGACTAATTTGGCAAGTCCCCTCTGACTAAGATTTTATTAATTGAATACAAAACTGCTTCAGATCAACAACCATTTCCTCCCAATTGATGCTTAGATAACGATTTAAAAGTTACAGAATCGTGAATCAGGCATACCACCTTTTAATGGAGGGTTAAATTACATCTGCAGTACCTTTAAATACAAAGTTTAATCTCACCGACAATAGAGAAATTATGGTAAATTATGGTAAATTTCTACTTTGCCTCTGTTGCATGAATTCACATTTATTTAAGTTTTCTGTTAAGATACCCTGAGCAAGAAGCTCTCTCTCTCTGTGTCTAGTTATTTACAGTGGCACATCATATATACTGCATGAGGTATTTAGTTCTGAGTGAACAATATATACTGGGTTAAACTCTATGCATTTAATATTAAAGCGAAGGTTGAATCTTTGAAAACAATACTTTAGATGGTTAGCAACAATTTGGTCTGCTTTCAACTATGGGCTTATGTCAAAAAAAAACATAAACTTCTAATTGCTTTCCTAATAATGGCGCAAGGGAATGCAAACCCTAGCTGTAAAAAAACTAGATGTAAACATTAATCCAAGTTTTATTTTAGACAAATATTTCACGCAATATGATAATATACAAACCTAGGGAAAGCGTTTAAAAGTTTAAAGAGTAATGATTGGGGAAACTAAGAGAATATTCAAGTTAAACAGAGGATAAAGAGTATTGATGGTATAAATAGTCATGTCCAATTAACAACGGTACCCTTGAAACCTTAATCTGATCAAAAATGTGGAAGATACCGTCGTTTTTCTGATTTGAAGAGTAGTTTATTCTGATAATTTTTCCATTGCTAGAAACATGGATATTGAATCTGTGCAATGAAGGGTCACTTGAAATTAAGGTTAATGTCCCTTCAAAGGGAGTGCTCGCAAAAAAATGAAAGGGGGTATAGGCTTACGGCGAAAAGTAAGCGCTTTTGGTCGCTACTAATCTTACTTCTGTCTGTTGCGTCTATAAGGAGACAATTGTTAAAAACTACTTTTACCGAAGAACGTAGCGTCCATAAAATTTCAGAAAGTTGTGTAACATTCAACTCGGATCGTAAAAAAATGAATTGAATTCCAAACAAATCATTCAGATATTATAACCAATAATCATCGATAATTTTTCGACGTATTCGTATATAGTTGATATTTTATAATATTTTTATTTTTTATGATCTGATATTTACTTTTGGAAACATTTATTCCTATTTCGAAGATTTTTGATAATGAAGACGACATTTTCATATTTTCCATGAATGTTCGAAAATTCAGCCTCAGCAAAACATTATTTAAAAAACACAAAATCGAAAATATTATAAAATGTTAACTATATACGAATGCGTCGAAAAATAATCGATGACTATTGTTTGTAATATCTGAATTATTTGTTTGGAAATAAATTGATTATTTTACGATCCGAGTTGAATGTTGCAACTTTCTGAATTTGTATGGACACTATACGATCTTTACCATGAGTCGCTTTTAACAATTTTCACATTTATAGACGCAACAGATAGAGAAGTAAGATTAGTAGCGATAAAAAGCAATTATTTTTCGCCGTAAGCGTATACCCCCTTCCATTTTTCGCAAACACTCCCTTTAAAACTCTTGATTTTATGTTTTTAGTACAATCTTTAAAAAAACATGTTAGCAACCAAACAAATGTCTTTCTCGTCCTTTGGAACTTGAGAAGTTACAAATTACAATGCCATAAAATCTTACCAGAAGTAACCCTGCATAAAATCATAGATATTCTATACATTC